CTGCAGAGTTGTTATTTGGGTTCCAGAGGAAGTTAGTGGGGTGTTTCTGAGCCCTGAGATTCACCCCTCTGTAACCTTAAATCTATCAGGACATTCTAGAAAAACCCCTGCAAGTGGTTCGGCCTGCTCTCTATCCTGCCTCCCAAGGAATGAAGTCTGGGGACACTCTCTATACCATAAAGCCTGGACCTCTAGCCCCCACAAGAGAAGTGACAATTAGACAAGCCCATGTTTAGACACACAGGCAATGACTGCCTGGACACTCATCCTGGTGGTGGCTCTGGCCAGTGCTTTGTGATCAGATTTCTTTTTATTTTGATTTTTGGAAATATCCCCCAAATTTCAACAGGCATGTCATGCAACTCCACCTCTGTGAAAATATGAAATCCTGCAGCATTCATCTGAACCCAGCTGGGACTTCATCTTGGCTGGATGGACAGTGAGTAGGGTGAGGAGCTGAGGACTGGATCCTCTGTTAGTGGGGCATGGGCCACACCTGGCAGGGCTCAGGGGACCCCAGAGGGCGCCAGGGATCGAACTATGCGTAAAAGGGTTAGCCATGTGTAAGACTAGCCCCTGGTGCTCTGTCCTAGCCCCCCAGACCCTGGCTGTCCTCATCAGCTTTTTGTAGCTCCCCATTGGGTGGCATGATGAGCTCGTCCAGGTTCCTTCAAGTCACTGGAAGGACTTTCATTTAGTGCCTTCAATAAGAAGCATCAGCCATGATGCTGGCCAGGCTCTCAGGCACTTCAAACGTTTGCTCTTGGCATGATCTATGGCTCTCTGGTCTCTGGCTCTCCCGCAGCCTGGAAATCCTCAGCCAGCTTGCACCCCCACGTTCCCGCAGCGCGGCCCTGTGCTTTCACAATGGTCACAATGACCGACTGTTCTGGACCTCACACACTGCAGTGACAGTGCAGGAAAAACTACAGGACAGTCACCGTCTGGGTTTCCACAAGAAAGAACTTGCAGCTTCCAAAGGCATCGCTGTGAGTGCTTGAATGGTGCAGAGACACCGGGCTTTCTGCTCTGTTTAAGAGAAAGCAGGGGCTGAAGCCATAGCACAGCGGGGAGGGCACTGGCCTTGCATGCTGACCCTGGCACCCCACAGGGTTCCCTCAGCCTTTCAGGAGTGATCCCTGAGAGCAGAGCAAGGAGTAACCCCTCAACACTGCCAGGTGTGGCCCCCAAACAAAACAAAATGATAAATAAAAGGGACAAACATCCTACAAGCATGATAAGGAAGCCTTGCTCACAGAAACAAAGGTCCAGGCTAGCATATGGGGGCAGAAAGAGAAAGAAGAACAAAAAAATAGCCTCCATATTGATCAATACAACAAAAGAATATCCATCAGTGTAACTTGCTTCTGCAACCATTTGCTTGCATTGGTCAGTGGCAGAATTGTGCTGGCCAAAGAATTGTAAATCCCGATGTGATACAATTGTAACCATTCTTTTCTATTCCAATAGACAAGCCTCCAAAACAGGCACCCTATAATTAAATGAATGAAATCAAACTTGACTTAATTTTTGAGTTAATAGCACTCCATTCCCCCCCCACCCACTGGTCAACCAAAGCAGGAGAAGTATGATTTTATTTTCCAGAGGATAAAATATTCCTCCTAAAGTTAAGGTGATGGATTTTCACACTGCTAAGATTCAAATACTCTTCTGGGCTACTTTTTTTCTGAACTGAACTGCCGGCCTCGTTGAAATTATTCCAATGCTCAAATAACACCGTGTCTCCAAACGTGATGTGACATAAGGCAGACTGTCAGATCAGGCCTCTGTTCTAACATCTACTTGACTCATGCAATGTTACGTAATTGAAAACCAATAGAATGATAAAGGCTATTAAAACAGAGTCCCTGGGGACTGGCCAGATTTAGAATAGGAGCAGAGGAAGAAGAAGCAATATTCATATTTTCAAAGCAATTTGACAGTCATCACCTTATATGACCAGCAAACAGATCTCCCCTATTCCCTATAAATGTGGATGACCAAATTTCTGCCCCTTCCACAAGGCCGACTCTATCCCTTTCAAACCTTCATACACAGACAGACACACAGACACAGACACAGACACAGACACACACACACACACACTCTAATGCTCACTCCTGTTTTTTGCTTCTGTTTTATTTTTCCATCACCTACACCACTTTTCTGGTTTCTGCTTTAATAGGCATTGCTGTTATCTCAGAAGCTTGGGACAACAGTGATGTTCTAGTGAGGACTTTTTGTCCTTCCTCCTACCTTGGCATCCCATCAAATAAATTTTTCCTTTGGGAGAACAGAGCAGAAAAATCCAATTCTCCCCCTCCCACCTACACACACACACACCTCTAGAAAACTCTATTCCAGCACAGAGAATCCCTCTCAGAATTAAGTCCCTTCCTTGCCTGTTGATTGGGCTGACCTGGGCCTTTGCAGAAAAATCACAGGCAGCTGAGTGAGGGATTCCCAAGACTAAGAAAGTGTGAGAAGTCTAACTGCTAAGCGAGGTCCTGAGCAGTGGGAATTTCCACTCACAACTCCTCACTCTTACCCTCCCCAGCATAAGATAGAGTGGTGATGGTGGGGGTGGGGGTGGTGGGGGTGTGCTTTGCCCAGAGCTTTGAGGATTTACCCCGAAATTGGCACTCCAGATTATATGGATCCTATTTTATCAAGGTTTTAAGTCCTTGTTCTGTAAATGTTCTTTGTGATTTGACAAATTTATTTCTAAAGTACATTTTGAATGAGAGTCTGCTGGCAGGAGTCTGGTGTAGGAAGAGAAAGAAATATGAGTTTGTACTGTTCGCGGTCAAGCTGTCTTTTGTGTCTGTGGAAAGATGGCGCAGGTGTGAGAAGCTCCATTTCTCACCGGAGACCCCAGCTTCCCAGAAAACAACGGGGAGTGTTGGGTCAAGAGCCAAGAGCGCTCCGGAAAGGCATTAAGAGAAATACTTATTTCATCAGTAGGAATCTCTAGAAGGAATGATCTAAAATACTGGAAAAAATAGTCACTACAGGAAAAACTAATGCCAGCAACATCAAAAACCATGTCAGCCTCCCTAATTAGGGAAGGAGTGGATGATATTCATCATCCACTACAATAATCACACTCAGCTGTTCTTAAATCACACATTGTAGTGAACTTGTAATAACAAAATGTCAGGCTTTAAAAAAAAACAACAAAAAGACACTGAAGAGACACTCTGGTCTCACTACACAATAATATGCAGAAAAGTCGGGAAGGAAAATACATCCAAGAATAAGAATAAGAAAATGAGCAGAGACCTCTGATGTTGCATACACACTCATCTCGGCTCAGACATTTCCTGCAGTTCTTGAGTATTCATTTAGAATGGACAAATGACCTTACATATGAAAAATCAAAATTTCTCTATCTGCTAATTTTCCAGGGAGATGGAGTATATTTCGCAGACAGAAGTACCTGGTGGTTATCGCTACAAACTAATCATTGTCTATTTTGAAAGTCACCGGATGACTACAGTCCTGTTTCACAGGGTCCAATTCCTTATAACCATGACAACATATTTCAAGCTTGTACCTGCTGAAGTGTGGACTGCTTTCAGGCCCCAGAAAGCAAATTCAATCTTTATTTGACCAGAGTCTTCCAAAGGAAACAGACTCCAAATTTTAGCACAATACTCACCTCTGAAATATTACTCAATACAGACAGCAAATCAGTAAACAAGCCAACTTCCTCATCTAGCACCTCAGCCATTTGCCTGTGGTATGTGGCATCCATCACTTCTAGGCATGCTTAAAGAAATCAGAAGAACTAGAGCCCCATAGCTGTTGGGATTTCATGTTGCACCAGGCCACAGGGAGGAAACCTCTGGTTGAACATAGAGGATGTGTAAGGGGGAAGGGTGCACTCAAGATGAATTGGGAAGGCAGGTATCAACAAAAGCTCCACCTGGCCCAGCTGCAGGAAGTGTAAGACCGGGTCACATGCCGTCTGCCAACCCAAATCCTGGGTCCTCATTGCTCTACCCTCAGCTTCCTTCTCTGTAGAGACCAAAAAGGCCAGAGGAGCAGAGAAGGTCCAGAGGATAAACAGCAGGCCCCAACTGGACAGCGCCCTCCTGTTGACCGCCTCCCCACAGCAAGAACAGGCGTTTCAGTCTTTGTTTCCTCAAGACCCCTGGGATTTCGCCCACACTCACATGGCAAGATCCCAGCCCAAGGCACTTAGAATGAGACTTGGACACTCCAGGGCTTGTGACTTTGTTCCTGGAGCTTTTTTTTTGAATCACGCCCCCCCAAGCCCCCAAGTCAGAAGCCCCTTGACAAGCTAGTTTGAGGGAGGGGAAGGACAAAGGCAGGCCAGTGGTGTCTGGAAGGAGCACTGCTCTGCACTAGCGCTAGTTTGGCAGGGAAAGCTTTGAATCAGCACGCCGATACAAACAGCTCAGATGAAAACACAAATGCAGAAATGGGGGTGGGATCTGCAGAAGGCCAAGGTTTGGATCTCTGCACCTGCACTCAGAGATCACAACCCAGCACTTCAGTTCAGGGCAGGGCTACTGAGACCCTGCTAATGCCCCCTGGAGGGAGTGTGTTTTCCAGGATCAGCAAATCACTTTGCCCCCTGGAACTGAGGTGGGCCATCGAAGCACCAAGCAGAGCCTGGTGTGGAGCAAATGTCCCCCACCCACACAGACTTCTGAAGCTTGTTGAAACGCAAGGAGCAAACTCAGCTACCTCAGAAAGCAGCGTCAGCTCCTGTTCCTGAAAACCTGGTCTGCTTCTGCCCTTTGATAAACCCCACATATGGAGCCCAGGGCAGGGCAAGGGTGCAGGGTTGTTACCACAAATCTTAGCAGTGGTTTGGAGCATCTAAACAGTGTATGCAAGGGCTTCCCCAAAGCCCCAGAAACTGCTCTTTTCCCTTAGTACCCTGAAAATCACAACTGTGCAATTAAAGGCTTTGCAAAGGCACCTGCAGCCTTGAAAACCACCACATGCAAACGAAGGCAAGAGCTTACCCAAAGTTACTGGCTAAGTTCATGGAAACACAGAAGAGAAGGAGGTTCTTGGTCATGATAAAGCTAGAGAACATTCCATGGTCCATTCCCAATGAGAATGTCGGCTGGAGCAGATGGATTTGGGAGGGTCACTTTGTCTCCTACTCGATCTTGAAGCTGAAACAAAGAGAAAAAGAGTGGGGCTTATTTCTGTTCGTTTGTTTTCTTTGGATAAAAAAATGTTTTCATGTTATAGCTCTTGGGTTCCAACCCTAAGCTAACACGGACACAGTTTACAAACAAGGATTCTGGCAGCTGCTGGCACCAAACTTGCCAGCCAGGAGCAGTTTCTCTGACCGCAGAGCTAGGATCCAGCTGCATCTGCGCTAAGCCCCAGCGCAGGCTGGTTCCCACCACGGGTTATTCCCACCCTTCACGCACTTCAGCTGGTGTGTCCGGCCTTCCTTCTAGGCCTGAATGCTCGGCGGCGTCTCTCAAAGCCACAAGTGGAATCAGTTTACCTTACTGAAAAAATTGACCTCGCGTTCAAAGCCGGCAAGCTAGTCCCTGATCTACTCCGTGCTCTGAAAAAGTAGGTGGCAGGGGGGTGGATACGTTCAGGAGACAATCTTCCACCGGGTCCGGAGCACTTAAGGGCGGCGGTTGGGGAGCGGGGACCACTTCCTGGGCGTTCTGTGCCCCCAGACTCAGTGATTTCATCAAACTGCGGGAGTTCTCTGCTTCAGCGGGCCCGAAGGAATTTGCAGCAGGGCACGCAGAGTCCCTGGGTTCTGCCTTCGACCTCAGCGGGCGAGCGCTCACGTTTTTTCCCCAAATACGCATCACTAAAGGGGTTCGCAACCCCGCCCCCCCCCACCCTGAACATCCCGGGTTCAAGGAGCATATCCTCACGTCCTCCGGAGACCCGCAAACACAGCCGCTGCTTCCACGCGCCCCCACTGCCCCTAAGATTCAGGGGTGGGGTGGGGGTCGCCTGGCTGCGTTCTGGGTTGGGCGCTTGGAGCGGGCCCGCGTCCTGGCAGCTCGTACGGCGCTGCATGCTGCCAACCCGGGTGACTACGTCCGCCCCGCGCCGGGATCCCCCACGCCCGGCTACCTCCAGCTCCCCAGAGAGGCCGCGACCCCCCGGGTGGCGCCGCTGCATGTGGGCGCGGGACAGCGCTGCGGAGCCGCAGCGCGGCTGGCTCGGCCTCACGCCGGGTCCGCTGCGGCGTTGTTCAGCCTTCGGGCCGGGGATCCCCAGGACCGGGTGTGGGTCCGAGCGCCGCCCCTGCCGCGCCTGGCTCCCGGGTTGCCGCCGCGGCCCCTGGCACCCCGCCCCGAGCAGCCCGTGGGGCCCTCGTCCCCAGTCTCGCCCTTCCGGCTCGCGGCGCCCCGATTCCTACCCGCACGCCGGCTCCTGTGCTCCCGCAGACGCGGGGGCAAAGTTTGCGCGCCCAGCCGGCTGCCCAGCTGCCCCCGCCGCCGTGCCGAGAAGGCGGGGCCCTTCCGGCCGCGCGGTTCACCCGGCGCGCCCGGCCCGGAGCGCGAGCCGTCGGCGCGGCTGCATCCTCCGCCGCGGGCGGGCGAACGAGCGGGCGCGCAGCGCGGAGGCCGGCGCCGCGTCAGCGCCCGGCAGGCAGCTCGTCCCGCGCCTGGGCACGCAGCCGCGCCGCGCCCCTGGGAGGCAGCTCGCCCAGTGCCCGGGGATGCCCGGTGCCTGGGGATGCAGCCGCGCCGCGCCGCGCCCCCGGGATGCAGCTCGCCCAGTGCCCGGGGATGCCCGGTGCCTGGGGATGCAGCCGCGTGGCGCCCCGGGATGTGGCTCGCCCAGTACCCGGGGATGCTCAGCGCCCGGTGTGCCGGGAAAGCAGCTTGCCCAATGCTCGGGGTTGCCCAGTGCCCGAGGATGCAGCCGCGCCGCGCCCTGGGATGAAGCCGCGCGGCGAAAGCAGGATGCAGCTCGCCTCGCTCCCGGGGATGCGGCTCGCCCCGCGCGCGCCCCGCTGCAGGTTCCCCGCGCGCCCCAGCGCCGTGCGCCCGCTCACCTCGCCCGACTGCCACATGTCGTCTCCCCCGGCGGGGACGCGGCGGTGCGGACGCCCGGGTAGAGGCCGCCTCGCTCTGAGCAAACGCGCCCTCGCCGGCCGCGCGGGGGAAGGGCGCAGGGCTCAAGTTTACCGCGCGTGGCCTGCGGGAGTGGTCCAGGATCGGGGTTGGGGTCCCGGGGCCCAGACCGTCGCCGGAGGCCAGGACTAGGAGAGTGAGTGGCTGCTTCGGGGTCCTCCAAGTGCCCCCGATACCTGGCCTGGCCCTTTTTCAGTCTGGGGTTTTCTGTCCCCCTTGGAAAGACCACCCCTCTCCTGGGCAAGTGTCCCCTGGACACACACTGCTGCAGGCCGCAAGGCCTAGCGACAGCGGAACGGGGCGCATCACTGCCTCCGTGTTTGGGGATGGGACATCATCAGGTCTGGGGTATCCCCCCCAAACAGCTCCCTGAGTCAGGCCACCGTGTTCCACCCTCTGAAGTTCCTATTACTTGGGCACCCTTAGTGCTGAGCCAGAACCGGCCACTGTAGGCAGTGGGGCAGAGAAACTTGGGTGCAGGAGCTGCCTGCTCTTTAACGGTGTTTTAAGACCCTCGTAGCCCCATGGGCCCCTTGACTTGGAGTACAAGCACAGAAAAGATCCCAAGGTTTAGCATAAAACTACCTTGACAATGGTATGGTGCCCACAAGTTCTTCCAACTCTAGGAAGTCATGCTTGGTGCAGCCCCTTTCAAGAGGAAAAGAAAATTGTGGAAAGGGCGTTGGGCATCTTCCCAAAGACCGGTTTGTCCGTCTCGGAAGTTCCGTTCCTTTTCTGTCTGACTGGAGTATTTTCATCTCCACTCCCTGCAAATACAACCCCCAAATTCCGGCATTTTTTGAGCATGCTGAATTGTAAATAGATTTCATAAAGGAGACTCGAAGCACAAAACATAATCTGAGCATATGCTTGGCGACAGTCATCTCGATTAACCAGTCAATAATTTCGATTCGAACAAAACACACACTGGATAGTTCAGACAGGCCTTTCTGAGAGATAGTCATCTCTTCACTCGCCAATTTCTGACACAACCCATCGTTCAGATAACATTCATTGCCGGTCAAAATCATGACAGGAAAAACAATGCATTTTTCACACGGTAGATGCAAAGATTCTCAGTTTAGTTTTTCCTGGGAGAGCAACTGTTTTCTCAGGATTAGAGAGACCAAGGTGTAGATCAACAGTTCAAACAACCAGTGAATTTAAAGCTTTGCAGATAATCCCTCAAAGACAGACAGTCCATTTTGCTAGAAAAAAGAATAGCTTAACCAGGGATGACTTTTGGATTAGTGAGAATTATGGACATTAATTCTCAACAGACTTTTTCAAGGTATTATTGACAAATCATGAATGAAATAACTACCAGCATTCAAGCTCTTCTGGACAAAGTACTTCTTAAAAATTTAATATTTTCCATAGTTTAATTTCTGCACTTGATTACTGAATGAATGAAATTTATCTTCAAAAATCTCTGTTCTTTAAAATTGCACTTAAATTTAGGGTTTGACTTCCTTCCCACCATCTGCATGAACTTCTCCGAGTTTTTATGAACACAGAGCAGAGTCATCAGAATAATAATAGGAAGTATAGGAACCTTACAGGAATTCACACTTTAGATGTAAAATCATTGCCAGCTTAATAGTGTTTGTTTTAATATGGAAATCACGATCAGCTGAATTCCCATTCCTTGGAGTAGTTTTGAATGACAGGCTGTGGTTGTATTTCTGGAAAGCAGTGGAGGGCGCCCGAGTCCTACAGAACACCGTGCAGTTCCCTTGGGATCAGAATCTTATTACTAGCCTGGAAGTCTAAAATAGCAAGGTTTAGGGAAGTCGGGCCAGCTGGGAGGGGTTCACTGTAAACACCCTTCTTTCTAGCCCACTCGCAACAGAGACAGAGAAAAGAGATTGCGTTTGGAGGAGGTGGGTGGGGTAGGCCCTCAAAAACATCAAAGGCAGCATTACTGGGAGACAACTGAGCTTGTTAAGACGCTGAGTGCAGTATATGCCAAACAGAAACCTTTAGGCACTCAGGCAACTAAGTAGTAGCTCACATCTGTGAACAACTGGGTACATCTGCAATAGGCAACATGACCATCCCTGCAGAAGGCAGGTCTGGGACAGGACATGGAAGATGAGGAGTTAATGCCAGCCTGAAGCCGAACCAGCTCCTGGATTGAGTGCTGTTGTTTAGGAGAAAGAGGACTGTGATTCCAGATGGTTTAGCCTGGCATTTTTATATGGAAAAGAAGTATGGGTGGGTAAGAGGAGAATAGACTGAGAACATGTTTGCGTATCACAGTAACAGCCGCTGGAGGGAATGAAGGAACTGCTTTATCTACTTCATACAGGGAATGTAAATTCTCTGATTGATTTGGATCTGAACCCTTCTTCTGAGTGCTTGACCCAAACAGAAATGGGAGAGACACAGATGAGAGAGAAATAGGAGAGGCTGAATCCGAGTGGAAGTGGAGGGAAGTTTCTCAGGCGTAATGCCAGTTGATTTGGGATCTGAACAAAGAACTTAAGTATGAGAAAAGGCAGCACAAAGAGGAGAAAGTTAGGAACCTACCAGAGAGAGCATCATAAATATTTCATTCGCAGGAAGCTTCTTTGAATGATTTTTTTCAAATTTCTTTCTTTTTTCACCTTAGAATTCTCAAACTCGCCCTCTGGCAGCTGCACATAGGCTATAAGCATTGTGGTTACCTGCCACATTTTAAGATAAAGACACTTAAAAACCATCAGATTCCATATAAATAAATGAATAAGTGAAGCTATGACTAAATATTTTGCTTCTGATTTTTTAAAAAAATAAATAAAAAACAGAAGTATTCATAAATCCATACTGTCACCCTTCCCTGCTCACCTACTAGAGCCCACTCATAGGGCCCCTTCCTGTTCTCACTTGGGCCAACTGGGCAATAGATGAAAATGTTGCTTTAATGGTTGTTCTGATTCCATTTTACTTCCCCATTGACTCACCAATGACACCGTTTCATTTTGATTTTACATATTGTTCAGGGTTCAGAATAAACATCTTTGAATTACTATACAGACTTGCTTTTAACCTTGTTTAAGCATATGGTTCTCTGGTATTAAGGGTTTTTTTGGTATAATCTTTGCTAGTGTCCGTCCTCAGGTCTTTTCCATAATACCCACAGCTTCCCTGCAATAATGAAATAACTCATCTGCCACTCTCCAGCTCCTGGAAACCCAGGTTTTAATTTCCTCCCCCCCCCTTTTTGGCTTTTTGGGTCATAACCCAGTGATGCTCAGGCTCTGCAATCAAGAACTACTCATGGTGGTGCTCAGGGAACCATATAGGAAGCTGGGATAAAACCTGGGTCTGCAGCGAATAGGGCAAATGCCCTACCCACTGTACTGTTGCCCTGGCCCCCAGCCAGGCTCCAATTTCTATCATGAAGAATTTCACTCTCTAGAAGTGGAACCATATAATTCTCCTTTGAATCGGGCCCATTCTCCCTTATTTAGGATAAAGCTTTCAAGGTCCATGTGTGTTTGTAGTGTGTTTTACTTTGTCCTTTTAAAGAAAGTATCACATCCTACTATGTAAATGCACAATTTTCTTATACATTTATGCATTCATGGATTTTCAGATGGCTTCACTTTGAAGAATGCCCCTATAATTCTAGGGGTACACATATCTATGCAAGTCTCTACATTTGATTCTTTCAATAACTACTGAAGTATGGAATCTCTGATGCTACGATAGTGTTGTTGAACTTGGAGGGGAAGCGCAATACTTCAGTGTCTTTGCATTTTAATCATTACTTGGGGTTGACAGTATGGGACACGTCTGGTGATGGTCTGGGGCTATTCTTGACTGTTCTGGAGACCCCTGGCAGTGGTTGGGGGACCACATGGGATGCTGGGGATTTGAATGGGGATCAGCAGCATGCAGGGATGTTGGGGGAAGAAAAAGTAAAAGAGATACCAGGAAGAAAACATAATTGTTAATAATGTCCTCCAATCATTAAACAATATCATTTGTTTCTTCTTCTTCTTTTTTTTTTTTTGGTGGGGAGGGCCACACCTGATTGTGCACAGGGCTAATTCCTGGCTCTGCACCTGCCCTAGGGGATTAGTCCTGGTGTCTCAGGAGACCACCTGGGGTTCCAGGATTGAACCACATACAAGACAAGTATCTTACCTGGTGAGCCATCTCTACAACCTTTATTTCCCTATTTGGGTCCTCTTTAACTTTGTTGAATTTTTTTATGTTATATTTTATCCTATTTTTGTGAATTTTTTTTATCAGAGCAAATTGTGTGTGGACAGAGATAATTACTTCTTCCTTTTATTCTATTTTTTTCTCTAATATTTGTAGGTATAACCTTACAAGGTATCTCCAGTACCTTGTTGTATAGAAGTGAAGAAATTGAGCACTGTCATCTTGATTCTAATTGCTGAGGAGAGAATATTTCAGTCTTTCACTCTCCGGGTATGAAAGTAACTTGACTTTCATATGGGACCATTATTATGTTGAAATAGCACATTTCTATTTCTGGTTTTCTTGGTGCTTTTAACCATGAAAAGTAGTTTAATTTTGTCAAA